TTGGATCCCCGATCCTCGCGTAGTTGACGAGCTAGCCTCCTCTGTAGCTTGCGCAGACACAATCAACAAGCAGCACACCAAAGCAACAGTCATCTTAGAGATGCCATTAGTCACGGCAACTGCAGGAGCAGGACCCCGATCATCACCTCCAACTCCCCACAAAGACAACAATGATGTCATCCGAGCGTAGCTGAGAGCCTTAGTGAGGAGATCTGCTGGTTGTACTTCTCCTGGACAATGTCGCGCTGTCATCAGCCCGTGGCTGATTTGTTCTTGTAGCCATCCTGCCTTTATCCTTAGGTGTCGCATTCTCCACGAGCTGGATCCCGAGGATATACTCAGAGCTGCCATGCTGTCTGAGGCGATCTCCTTACCTTCCACCACCTCGCCGATGTCCAATAAGAGAGCTTCCACCCCCTTCGTTGCGATAGCGCCATCTATCATAGAAAGCAACTCAGCTTCTGCTGTCGACAACGTAATCATCTGCTGTCTCCCACTTCTCCAAACAATTGGAACTCCCCCATATGTTACGACCCATCCTCCATGCGATCTTCCACCCTGTGGCGCATAGGCCGCATCACAGTACATCACCAGCCCTGTGTCTAACCAACGCACCTTCAGGCCGTAGTGGATAGTCTTGAAGAGATAGCCAATCGCCTTAATCCCAGTTTGTACTGCTTGGGACGGGACTCGGGTACACATACTCGCCATCATTGATGTTGTATAAGCCAGGTCTGGCCTTGTACGCTGCGCCACCCACAACACTTCACCTGTAAGTTGCTGTGCGTCCTTAATCGCTCCTTCTTTGATGTCCTCCTCTTGGTCCAGGATTGCTGCCAGATCTTTGGTGATTGGCACACGACTCATACTGGTGCTCTTAATGCCATGTGTCCTCACCAACTCCTGAATAAATCCTTGTTGATGGATTGTAATTTCATCCTTTGTCTCTGTTTCACGATGGAGCTCCATCCCAAGAAAACGCACCGCCGTTGTAGGCCCGAGCACCGTCAACTCAGATGTGTCCCAAACGTCCTGTATGATAGCCGTAAGTTCTAACACCAGCTCACGAGGTCCACATAAAAGGAAATCGTCCACATACACCACCACTATGGCTTGTACTGCACCATCTCGATCTCGCAGCGTCCACCAAGAAGTGATAGCGCGACCCTGCTTCCATTTCAAACCTCGTGGTGCTGACATAGTCTGCATTGTGGCATCTCGATAGTTAGTCCACAGCCTCGGTGCCTCTCTAAGTCCATAGAGAGCCCTCACTAAGGCCCATAATTCAAACCGCTCCACAAGCCCCAGTGTTTCTAGGAGTCTGGGCGGCTGCGCAATCACAACTGGATCCGAAGACTGACGTCCCAATGGTGTCTTCAAGAACGCCGCCACCACATCAAGTATAGCAACGAGCCAGTGATTACGACTGGCGATTGTAAGGGCCGTCCGTGCTGCTTCTGCTGGAGCTGTTTCTGCATATAAGGACGTATCTTCTGCCCTAGCCATGTTTCCACAAATCACCAGACGAGCCTTTCTTTTGTACCATGTGGCCCTGTCATCTTGTACTGCTCCATCATGTGGCTTCACCGTAAAGACAAACTTCATCGGTAGTCTCTGAACACCAGGTGTATTCACCCATTGCTCCCTTGTATCTGACCCTGGTAGAAGTCGCTCAATTGCTACCTCTATGCCCTTCACCTCTTTGATGATTGCCGCCCTCCACGCTTCCAAATTGGACATTACTTCATCCGGACTCACGTTGTGAACCACTTCCAGTGGGCTAGTGAGCTTCTCCAAAACCTGCTCAATGTTCCTGGTGTAACCCACTTCTGCCTTCTGAAGTTTTGGAACCACAGCTGGCTCTAAGTCATCTGCTATTTTGACCAGTCCAGGATTTAAGTCCAGATACATCGTCCATCCTTCTCCGTCATGTAGTAGAGCAGCGTGATCATCTATACGGTCATTCTGCACCGAGTTAATCATGGGATGTGGTCGCTCTGTCTTCAGGTCGCCATAGAACTCGGGAAGCTGAGAAAGAGGTACTGGAAAGTGATATTCATGTAGGGCATTGATGTCATCCTGGGACAACTTCCCCAGGCAGTCTGGCGTATATGCGATCATGACTACACGATCCCCTTCCCATTCCATAACTTCATGGTAACGTCTTGGACAAAACTCCAGACCTTCTCCATGACCTAGGGAACGACGCTGCCCATACAGGTGCTTACCATTTGCACACCGCTGCTCAATCTGGCCTTGGACAACATCACCCTCACAAAGCTCTACCCACAGATCACCGCCACGACTCGGAACACATAGTGGAATTACATAGTTCTTCGTGTTATAGTCATTGTTGATATCCTTGTGAATTCCCCTTGGAGTATTGCACGACACCAACACTGAGGTAAAGGAAGCATCTGGAACCACCTCAACGATGATCCTTGTCAGTAACTTTGTCAATGCCGGGTATTCTAGAATCCCGGTTAACTATCCCACTGCTCCTCCATGACGATATACTCCAAACTTCTTGTCATCGAAGAACTTATTCCCAGCCAACCGCCTCACCAAAGCGCACGCCTGGTCATAATCCCAGTCACGAAGTAGAAGCTCGGCCTCGGTTGTGGCCATGTCACGTATCTCCTCCGGGACCTTCTTTAAGGCTTTCATTTCCACCTCCGCGGCATCCTTCTTTCCCACCACCCGACGTCTGGGCCTTGGCACTTCGTCTGCTTGTAGCTCAACGTCGGGTCTCCCAGGATCCACCAAGTTAGGTCGGACATGTAGCGTGTGGAAGAACTTCTCCTTCTCTTCACCCTCCTCCGGGATGTAGACCAGATGGCCCCGTTGAAGTATCGTACTAAGACCAACGTACCGTCCGCTATGCCATTTCGACTCCAAGGTCTGCTCCCGCTTTAGCGGTCCATACTTATCGAATGGCTTCCTTCGCAGATGAACAACTGAGCCATAGGGCGCGGCTAGGTAGCTCTTCCATCCCAGGACTCGTGAGCGCTGCATTGCGCATGCAGCTTCCGCCGCTGTAGGCCACAGCTTGGTTGGTAGGGACGCGCTCTTAAGGTAGGTGCGGATTGAGTCCTTCACCCACTTGACTGTTGACTCGGCATGTCCATTGCTCTGTGGAACACCCGGCTCGGACCACGTTCCATAAATCCCTTGATCACGTAGCCATCCACGAAGTCGATGGTTGTAAAACTCGCCCTTGTCTGCGTGGAATTGAAAAATGGGGAACCCATGCCTTTGTAGGTAGAGGACGACATCCTGAAGTCCCTTCTTTACTGTAGCGGCCTGATTGTTGGGCAGCCCTGTGGCAAACGTGAGGTAGGTCATCTCCGGAGCCTCGCAGTCCCCCTCAGCCATCACTGTGTTCTGCATTGGGTGCTCACCATCCACATCCTTATCCTCATCATCGTCATAGACTGACGGCTCATACTCATTGTCATCTTCCTCCACCAGTCCTGAATCATCTTCTCTGGGCACAGTCCTAACTTCCACATCAAAATCAGCCACCTCCTCCGAATTTTTCAGACCCGCACTGTTCTCGAAGAGCTCGTCCAGCGCCGCATCAGAGACCTTCTCCGTTCCCTTTTCCTCAACCTCCTTGACTTCTGGCATTCCATCATCTTGCGGAGGCTGCTGGCCTGAGAACAAAGTCACATAGGTCTTTGGTACAACGTACTTCGCGATGAGGAGGTACTTGATATTTCGGCCAGTAGCCCCTTTCGAGGTTGGGTCAAGACCTGGCGATATTGGTCCTGCAACATCCGCCGTCAACACATAAGCATTTGGATGATGGACACGACGGTGCTGCCTCCCGGTGCCTCTCGCTGTTACACAAGTGGCACAGTCTTTGTGATAGACTGCATGATTACTGTTGACGTGAGTTTTCCACTGCTCCGCTGTTAGTGCTTGCAGATGAGGTAGTTGAAGAGCAGGGCGAGGATCGCGATCCCAAAAACTTAGGGCGACCACCACAGCATTGACCAGTCCAGGTGACCACACATCATCACCGTCCCGGCTCTCTGGTAAGGGGTCGTCATCATCGATCCTCAAATTGTTCAAGGCGACCAATCCACTCACATTTGTTCCTAGTGTAGTCCTTGTTCGCGCCGATCCTCCAGTTGCACCTTGATCAAAGGAGACTGTCCGTAAACCTTCTCGTCGCTGGTAGGACCGCCATAACCTAGTATCCCAAAAGCTCACTGCACCATCCAGAGTAGCCACGCCCTCGTACTGCTCCAGGCGATATTTCTGAACTGTGGCCCACAATCGCCTAGACTCCTCCCACGACGCCACTCTTCCGTGATCTGTAGGACTTCTACTTGCATCCTCGGCGATTTGAACCTCAGCTGCCCGTGCTCGACGCTGCTCCTGTGTGATGCCCTCGGGGTACTCTATCATAAACGCGACCTCTCGATTATGGTTGTGGACTCCCCCGTTAACTTCTCGACCCACCTGTGCCATTACATGTAGCCGCAATGTAGCCATATCATTCTTGACACCAAGGCGATGGATCGGACATCTCTGCTTCCTCCTAGAGCCCGCTGATGAGCTCGATCAGGAGGACCGCCAATGATGGCATCGATCTTCCCTTCCTTTGCACCCCACATTAGCATCCGCCAAGTCTCAGAGCGGAACAAATCCATTCCTTGGCACCTTGCAATATCAAGCTCGATCACAACGGTATCGCCCTGGTCAAGCTTCATGATCTCGTAGTGGCCCTCCTTGCCCGCAAACAAATGGACCACCCACCGCTTTGCACTCAAAATCCTCCGCCTTTGGGCTCTGGTGAAATAGCCCAGCTGCTTCATGATTTGCCAACCTGACCATAAGCCCTCCGCTGGTATCATATTGGACACACACTCTCCAGGTACATCTCTGAAAAACGGAGCATCTCGGACCGCTCGAAGACCGGACTCAAACGCTCCAGTCGACACGTAGTCCAGAAGGAAAACATCCCATGTTCGCTCCATAGCTATAGCGACATTTGGACTTTGTCCTTGGTTGTCAAGGTGGCGTTCTTCAGCTCCTCCAGCTTACGATCCTCGAGGCGCGCAATCAGGGTTAGCGCTTCCAGCTCGCACACCTGTGGACAACCTCCATCTGTTTGCAGCGGGGTTCTGTGACCATTGCAATCTTCGAGGTAGCACTCTGTAGGGCTCCAGAACATACTGTAACCCAGGACTTGAATCAGCTGCCCCATCGGCACAATCGTTTGCCCTGGCTTCTGGGTAGTACCACCATTGTCCTTGGATGGAGGCATCAGCAGTGTACCTGCTTTCGTTATCCTCATCGTCAAGAAGTGGCTCCCTGCAAGCTGTACAGTGATCAACTCTGCACCAGACCACTCCTCCATGGATTTCGCTGTCCTTAAGCTATGTGTTGCCCCACTGTCCACAAGGGCTGTAGCCGATCCCTTTGCTGAGCAGACCTTGATGTCCTTCAAGACGATCTTCTTGACTTCCGGCCTAATCTTCTCTGGAGAACTCTCCCCTTGTGGCTCTGCTTGCACTTGTACCACCTGCTGCGCGGCCTGAACAAGAGCTTCCAAAGTCCAAGGAGTTCCTGAAACCGGATCCCCCAGCGCAGATGCCGCTGCCACCGTCGCTGTCGTGCCTTGTGTCGAACCAGGATTCTGCTCACCTCGTCCTCGTAGGCCTTTACCGTCCTTGGGATCTCGTCCTTGTTGACTCGTCGGCGCCTTTGGTGGTGGTCTGCCCACCGGGCAGTCTTTCTGCCTGTGCGATTCAGCACCACACTTGAGGCACTTCTTCGCTCTCAGCTCCTTGTCCAGCGACGCCATAGAGTGCGAGTAGTTGCACTTATCTCCTCGACGGCATCCTGATGCTTTTGCGAAGTATCTGCACAAGTCACCACTGGTACTCCTCTGGCCTGCGTCCTTCGCCTTCGGCTGGAGCGTGGTTTCCACTGCTTGTACCTTGGCCGCCGGGTTGATAGTAGGCTTAGTTGTACTAAGCGACATCACTTCCAGCTCCGCTTGTAGATGACGTTGATAGGCTTGTACTTGCTCCAGGGTAGGCCTTCCGTCCAACCTCAAGGATGCCCTCAACATCGAAGTCCTGAAGCTTGCATCCGTTGACGACTCTATATGCTTAGTCGTTAGCGCCAGCAATCCCCGGGAAAGAACCGACGCATCTGGAGGTATCATCTGGACCGCCTTGCATCTCTCAAGCCACCGCGGCCGCGACCGCACCGTCCTCAGGACTTGCTCCAAGGAGTCTCCCCCCGTGAAGTCGGAAGGAGCTTGAAGGCGACGAAGAACATCATACCTTTCTGCAGAGCCTCCTGGTTGGTACGCCGTAAATAACCTGAACATCAGCTTCACGCAGTCGTTGGTGAATCTTCTCGAAACCATCTCACTTCTAAGCTCAAGCGGCATTGCGGTAAGCAGCATCGATGACGCCCTAGCGTTCACCCTTGTCCACTTTCCATTGCACCACTTGTCTGAGTCTCTGGGCTCTATAGACAGTTTCTCTAAAGGCGAGGCTGTCAACCATCTAGCGTAAACCTCCTCAACCATTTCCATGACGCCTGACCACCACGCCGCACTGCCTTCGCTGATGTCACACATCGCCACATAGGAAACTTCTAGCCAGTCCTGAAACGAGAGAGCAGCATCAACCGTGTCTCTAACGTCAGGTAGCGAAGTAAGTGATACCGTTCCTGGCTTCACTGTCTCCACCACGGTTGATATCGAAGCTTTAGACAAAGCCTGAGCTTGTAGTTCTTGTAGTTGCTGTACCCCTCGCGCTAGAGCGTCCAAAACCGGCGATCCTGAACCATCTTGCGCTGCTCTCTGAGGTGGACTTGGGTCCCTAGGTCTCGATCCCCACCATGCACGAAGTAACCCTGGGGTTCCCATAGAGGGCGTAGGCTCTGTTTTAGCAGGTGCTGCTCCAGTGCCTTCTGGTACAGGTCGACTTCCTCGGTCGTCACCTTGAAGAGTACCTGGACCATGTGGTAGCGGAGCACCTACAGGTAATCCATCAGCTTGAGGCTGCTGTAAGTTCTTAGGTACTGCTGAAGGAGCACCCCCTAGTACTCTAGCACTTTGATAATGCTCATGGGGATCTCCTTGAAGAGGTATCGAGCCTTCTAGCCTTCCAGGACCCAGAGGACCTTCTGCAAGATCACCTAGTAGTCGAGGAGGGGATAGATTGTCTTCGCTGCGGAACCTGGCACTGCTGTTCGTCATTCTCAGTCTTTCATTTGCATCGTCCAATTCCGCCTGTAGTCTGTTGTTCTTTTCCCCATAATCACGTAACTGAGCCATAATCCCACCAAGCTGCCTTTGTACCTCTGCTTGTATTGCTTCTGCCGGCACACTCGACGAGGAAGGTGGAGTAGGCGCCGATGGTATTGCCCTTGGCCTCACAGGTGAACATAACCGAAATGGTCGCCCACCCGGCGGTGGTGTATATGGCGGCGAGGGCCCCGGCAAAGGGCTTGGTTGCACATCCGCATGATAAGCTCCCGGGCTGGGAACACTCAGAAACGTGCTCAATCTCTGCAGCCACCTAGGTGGCTCTACACCATTCAACCATGCAGCCTGATTCGGAGCCCCTGGCGAAACCATGGCTCTAGGCGTTGCAAATTCTCCAGATGTGTCATCAGCTAGCGTGGCCGGTCCGCTTTGATCGGCTGCAGATCGCCTACCTAGATCCAGTGTCGTCGTCGCTCCCATCATCGGCGATGCCTGCACTGCTCCAGCTGTAGTCTCTGTAGTCACCTGCTCAGTCCCAGCTTCTTGTATCCACAAGCCCGACTGTAGATCCTCACCATCCACAGCCTCCACTTGTTGCCTATCCACATCTGTCACCACTCCAGATTCACCTTGGACATCTCCAGTGAGTCTGGACTCGTCAGCTCTATGTTGCTCTGCATCATTGGGCCGACCATTCATAAGCTGCGAAGTCTGCAGCGGTTGGGCGCACATAACCTGCTGAACTGCGTCAGCTGGCAGTTCGGGTGGTCCAGGCATGACCGAAATCACACCATGGCTGCGAATTGGACGGCTGCCTTTTTTAACTCCGCGCACAACGACAAGATTGTTCTTAGTTGCAAGCACATGCAGCATCTGGGGTGTACAGTATTGATGCTTCTGCGCATGAAAAGCTTTTGGCAACCTCGAACATGCTCAAGAAGACTTTCGTAGCCATCTCCTTGAAGTGACAAAAATGCGACCGGGTGAACACCTGCACATGATCTCACATCCAGAGTGGAATCCCAGCAGCGAGGTGGTACATCAGCAGGTTTAGGGTTTAGGGGTTTAGGGTTTAGGGTTTAGGGTTTAGGGGTTTAGTATAGGGTTTAGAGTAACTCTAGACCCTAACCGGGCATTGGCTGCTCGTTTTGAGTAATGATTGAGGGGTCTGGGCTGAGGTCGACGAGGGCCCAATTCTTGTGTGCACCTGCGGTATCCATTCCCTAAACCCGAAACCCCCAACCCTAGCCCCTCAGCTCAAAAGCCTTAAATCCTAAACCCTGAACCCTGAACCCTGAACCCTAAACCCTAAACCCAGAACCCTAAACCCTGAACCCTAAACCCTGAACCCCGCACCCCAAACCCCGAACCCCTGTCATCCAGCAATGCCAACAGAGGCTCCCGGAAGCCGCTTCTCATATCCAGCAGTGGCTTTTGCTTCGGCTTTGTGTTTTAGAGTATGATATAGTATGACATGGTATAATAGACTATGGTGTAGTGTAATAAGTATAGTATAGGATGGTATTGCAGAGCATGGTAGAGTAAAGTATAGTATAGTATCGTATATATTGTATAGTATGACTTAGTATAGCATGACATAGGTTGTTTTAGAGCTTGTCACAATCCTGATTTTGGTACCGACTATCTTTCCTACAGAGTATACGTAACTAAACTTATGAATGCTTAGAACCTTAAGAAACCTGACTCAAAGCTTTACTCCCTGAGCCATCCTCCAAGAATGGGTCTCAAGACCTGAAGGATGTAAACCTTGGGGCCTTGTGCCTCGGGTCATGGGTATGCATATCTCATGGTGTCAGCTTTCCTGTACGGTTTGGGTCCGGGTCATCATCTTCCAAAAGTATTCACGATCTGTCCGACACTGCGCATCTGTTCCAGCAGGGTTAGACGAGCTCTAAACCCTAAACCCTAAACCCTAAACCCTAAACCCTAAACCGTCAATGTGATACCCTCGAGCATTAAGGTCTGGCTGACTCTGGCAAGCAGCGTTTGCATCACTCTGAGACCTGAAAATCATAGACTACTGTGCTATACTTTTCTATGACTTGCTATACTAGACTATATCATACTATCTTAGACCATAGCCCCACGATACTATACTAGACTATATCATGTTATCTTAGACCATAGCCCCACGATCCAATAAGTGAGCCCTGAAGCTTGAACCTTTGGGTACACCCTAAACCCCGAGCTTCACCCCAAAAAGGGCGCGCAGACCGCCCAAACTGCCCGAGGTCCGCCACTGTGGTCAGGACGGCTTGGGTTTAGGATTTAGGGTTTAGTCTTGGGTTCGAAAAGAATCAGAGGGGTTCAACACGGCTCAGGGTGAGGGAATCAGCTGTTAGGGTTTTAGAGTTTCGATTTTCAATCGAGTTTCGTGATGAGGGATGGGCAGTCGCTGTTTCATTTTCTACCTTCCGACGCAAGTGAGCGGAATGCTAGTACCGACATGCATGAATGCCGTGTATCGTAAACACAACGAACTTATAGACAGACGGATCGTTCGACACATGGACGTAAGGATGGAAGGAACGATGGACGAATGGGTTGATTGATGGGCACACGGCCAGCTTGGCAGGTGTTTGCATAGTCAGAGCCCTAAAAGACATGAGCAAGACACACTAGGGCCAAGGGTTCATATGTAATGCAGTCGTATGTACATGTGAATCTGTGTATACTCGTGTTTGCGTCTTCTTTCTTCACCCCTGTGACCCAGTAGCATGTCTGTCTGGATACAGTTCTGCCCGGCAAACATGTTTACATACCTACATACATGCATATATATATATATACACACATATATATATATATATGTTATGTGTACGGCCACGAATACACATACTGATGTGCAGCTTGCTACAGATGTATGTTTACATTGCGAGCGGTAGGTTTATTGTATAATTTGTTTGTTGTCAGTGGATTTATGTGTGTATGCATGTATGCGTGTAAAACAAATACACACACGGAAGCCGACTTGTTCTGGTTTCACATGCAGGCGTGCATGTGTGTACTACACAGGCATGTGCTGCTGGTCTATACCCGTTCATCTCGGTTGCTTTTGATTCTGTGCACACAACAAGTAGATCATCGGTCTTCTACCCAGCAGACGGGCTCGTTCACCAGGGCGTGGCGTTGGAATATAGCGCGGCATCACCCCGGAGCCTTTCGTGTCCGCGGTTTTCACAGCAGGTGCACGGGTGCAGTGTGGGTTTGCTGGTTTGAAGTCACAATCAGAGATCTGCCCATGTCATGTGTGTGTTTACTAGTGCGGCGCATGACCTTCGAAGCCCGGAACCTGGCAGCAATTGCTAAGGTTTCGCAAGTTGAAAGGTTTGAAGATTTCATTGCAACTGCCAGTTGCTCTTGCAACAAACCCTGAACCCCAAACCCTAAACCGGCATATCTGGTCTGCAACCTGGCGGGTCACAGACCCTCTTAAGCTGCTAATCCGAGATTGCAACGACGCTTAACCGTCCGCCTGCTTCTGACAGTGCTGGGAACCCGAAACCCTAAACCACCGTATGTTGGGTTGGCAGGGATCATTTGTTGGTTCTTTGCGGGCTCGTGCTCTCGGCGCTCGGAGAGTGTAGCGTAGGGTATAGAATGCTGGTCGCTTCTGGGTCTTCTGGCGAAGCTTCGCTTTCAGAAATCTGTGCTGAACCGAACCCCAAACCCCCCGACTCTAACCCCTAAACCCTAAACCCTAAACCCTAAACCCTAAACCCTAAACCCTAAACCCTAAACCCCTAAAGCGTGGACCCCAGGCCCCCAACATCCCAAGCCCGAAACCTTGAACCCTTGCCCAGCTCTTAGAGAATTATAGGAACCCGTATAGCTCCTTTAAAAAAAGCGCCTGTAACTCCTTAGAGAATTATAGGAACCCTTCTAAATCCTTTAAAGGAACCCCTAAATCCTTAGAGAATTGTAGGAACCCTTATAGCTCCTTTAAAGGAACCCCCTGAACCCTAAACCCGAAAGCTGCCGTTCACAGGAAGTACCTCGGGGCCACGCACGATGGCCACGTCATCCACGACGATGTGCCCACAGTCGGGGCCTTGATACTTTGGGACTTCTGAACATGCTAGGGCTGCTTTAAAGGAACTCGAACAGTTTAGGGTTTAGGATTTAGGGTTACGGTTTAGGGTTTAGGGTTTAGGGTTTAGGGTTTAGGGTCCTATAAAAGGGGTCAATTAAAAGGGTACCATAGGTGTATAGGTTTCAGGGTTTAGGATTATAGGTGGGTTAAGGGCTTGCAGTAGATGGATAGGTTTTAGGGTTCAACGTAAGTACTCCATTTTCGGGTAGCCCTTCTTTCGTGTAGCCTGGTTTGGGGTTCAAGGGGGGGTTTGCAATGGAGGGTTGTAGGTTCAGGGCTTGGGACATCTGTGGTTCAGGGGCGAGTGGAGCAGGGTCAGAGTTCTGATGCAGAGATTTTTGCGAGGAGTTTGCTTGTGCTCATTTGTGCAAACGGTGTCCGGCTGGGCAGAGTAAAAATTTGTACGTGGAAACTCATGGGTTGTGGCGTGCGAGAATTCGACCACCATTCCATGGGACTCCGCGAGTACTTGGAAGTTCATGCGTAGTTGTAAGTAGGGTTATAAGTTCCCTAATATGGGTTATAACTATACTTACCCTACTTTTAACCCCACTTATAACCACCCATGAACCTCCAAGTAAGGCAGTAAGATTACTTGGAGGGTCGGGAGACTTAGTAAGTAGGTCATAAGTAGACTTATAAGTACGTACCCTGAAAGGGACCTTAACTGGGGTTATAGTACTTATAAGTCTATGAAATAACCATTTACTAAGTCCCCCGNNCCAAGAACCTTCCATAAGCCCCTCAATCTGGCCTTCCAACAGTGACGAGAATAGACTGATCCCTTGTAACTTTGAATGCTAAGTCCCACGAACTTTCATGTCATGTAAATAGTGTGGGGTAACCTGGCTATGTGCTCTACATCTTTCAACTACCTAAACCCTAAACCCTAAACTGTTCAGTTCTGGGTCGGCGGAAGCCTAAACGGCTGTCGGCCAGAGGCCTCGGCTTCACCCGAACTCAACCGCAGCAAACCCTTAGCCCAAGCCCTATATCCTAGACCCTAAGACCCTAAACTCTAAAC